TTTCTGTTTTTTTCTATATTAGGTAAGCTCATTTTTTGTTTGAAATGTGTAATAATTTAGAAATATTACAAGCAATTTATATCTCTATAAATTGCTTGTGAAATTATTCAATATTATTTATCCACGTTTTTCGACATCCTGCTCAAAATAATTCGATTAAACTGTAATTTATAAACTATAAATTATGTGCGATATAAATTATGTGATGGAATATGGGCCGTATTTAGACTTTCGCTCGTACGCAAAGATTTGTGTAGTTCCATGTTCCATCTCACGGTTTTCAGTTTAACAGTTTCTTATTTTGTGGGTGAACCTTCAAAACGAGGTTAATACATTACTAAGTATAGAACTAGAGTAAAAAATGTAGCAGCAACAGATTTTCATCGGATTTCAATAAATTTTGAACATAATATTCTATACCAAACGATATAAAAAAAACATGTCAGAGTTGGCTTGGAAATTATATATTTTCAAGCCAACATCATGCCTTTTTTATTTATTAGATTTCAATGTCAAAATACCAGCACAATATTCTCAGAATTTCTTTAAATCCAAAATATCTGTTTTGTATTAAAATTTACTACTTTAGAATACAAAAATTCTTTATAACGTTTATAAAATAAATCAATTCTAGAAATATAAATTCTCACAAACAACCTATAAAAATTACATTGAAAGACAACCTTGGTATTATGCAGACGTATGCGACAGAATTTTTATTCTTTTTAAGAAAAAAATCAATTTGTCTCCATGGTCAAGACAATTCCGTTAGTTCTTTGTTCTTCTAGTTGATCGCCATGCCCAATGATAATTTATTTTAATGTTTTTTTTCTCATAATAATTGTAACATTCAAATAAAACTCATTTGATTTTTTTTTGTAAAATAGCTTATTACTATGGTTGTCTTTTATATTTCGCATATAGAAAGTTATCTGTAAAAAATCTTTTCTCGTTGAATACCGCATCTATTGATGGAAGAACAGAAAGCAGTTAGAGTAAATTGATAGCCATAGTAGACTTTGAGAAGGCTTGCGACAGGGAGACACGATATTCCCAAAACTGTTTACAGCAACATTAGAATATCTTCCGTCAACTGGACTGGACCAACAAAGGATTAAAAATAGATGGGAATATCTTAACCATATCAGATTCGCTGATGATATAGTCCTAATTGCCAATAGCCCTGAAGAACTAGAAGTACAAATTAATGAACTAAATACAGCTAGCTATAAAGTGAGTCTCAAAATGAATTCAGCAATACTAAAGTACAATGTAAAACGAACTAATAGAAAGAAAAGAATTCAAGACTGGGACGATCAGATCTTATATGGTTCAGATATCAGAAACTCAATCAGATTCAAATCCAGAATTCCACTCTATCTAAAGAAGAATATCTTAGATAGGAACTATCGGAAACAAGAAATAGCCATCTTATCTGATAGTCAAGCAGCGTTAAAGGCGATCAACTCAGTATCAATCAATTCGAAATTGGTCAAAGAATGCATAGAGAAGCTGAATAAATTAGGCAAAGAAAACAAAGTCCTCCTACACTGGGTGCCTGCTCACCAAGGGATAGAAGGCAATGAAAAAGCAAATAATCTAGCTAGGAAAGGAGCGAACACTCCACTAACTGGACCAGAACCGTTCTGCTTTCCAAGTGGTAACCAACTCAAGGCGGAACTCAAGAACTTGGAAGATTCCATCCGCAACCTGGAATGGAAATCTTGCAATGGTCTAGGACACTCGAAGAAGTTTCTGAGGGCTTATGATCAAGAAAATCACAGATCTTCCTGGGTCTGAGTAAGAACAATCTTCGGATTGTCACGGGGTTTTTAACAGGACACTGTCTCCTCAATGAACACCTCAGTAGATTGAAACTAAGAAGAAACGGCGAATGCAGATTCTGTGGGGAAGATGGTGAAACACCAGTACGCCTCATCACTGAGTGCGCCGAGACAACAACCATTCGTGCCATGAATTTTGGTACGACTGATATTGGAGATGGAGAACTACCCTCTATAAAACCGTCCCAGATACTGGCTTTTGTCAAAGCCCTGGGACTGTATGATGAGTTATGATTCAAGAAAGGGGAACACAATGGATCTGTAAGGTCGAAGTGATTAACCCCCCTCCCACTCATTCTAATTCTAATTCTAATCTAAAGAAGAAAACATTCGACCAGTGTATACTACCCGTCATGACCTATGCATGCTAAACCAGAACACTTAAAACGGACATCATAAGAAAACTGCAGGTCGCACAACGCTCAATGGAACGAAATATGCTGGAAATAACCAAGAGAGACCGTAAAAGAATAGAGTGGATACGACAAAAAACCCGGTAACAGATGTCATCCACAGAGTCGTCAAATTCCTCAAATGGAAATAGGCAGGACACCTGGCAGGAAGAACGGACAACAGATGGGCCACAAAAATTACAGCATGGTACTCACGAGGAATTAAGAGACCTAGAAGAAGACCATGGCTTGTGCGGGTCGTTTAAAATTGGTTTTAACCTCAAATCATTGTTGAATACACAATATTATTGAATACACGGTAGCACCAAAAGAGAAAATATATTATTGATACAACATTTTAATTTCTCTACTTCACTTCGTTAAACCATCGTTAGGTGATCCTTCTTAACAGCGGTTCGTGTATCATTCATCTTCGATAAATACCAATTACTTCAAGTTCAATGTTCAATGTGAGAATACCCACTTCATCTGTTGCATTATAGCCTTAATTAGGAATTTAATTAGCTATCGATCTCGCGATTCTATTCCATTTGCGTCAGGAGATTGAATCTTTCCCTCGAACAAGCTTTACGTTTTCCTAGCAAATAAAGTACGTATTAATTTTCAATTCTATATCGCAGATTTACCGATCACGAATTCGGAATTTATGGTTTACCAACTGTAAACTATGACGTGCTTAACTTCGACTTGGTCATGAGGAATAGCTGTCACTTGTTGGAATACCTACAGTGTTATGTGTTATAGGAAAATACACTATCGGACAAAAGTAGAGAAACTTTTTAAAATTGTGTCTTTTTTGTTAACACCTGTGACTGAGGCCATTTTATGCATCGTTAAAATTAAAGATACTTAAATAGTTCTTATTTAAATGAAATAATCACATGTCTCACGAAAACTTAAGATTTTATTCAGTTAAATAAAAAAAATATAGGGACAAAAATAGAGAAACTAAAAATTAATATAAAAATTACAAGTACATAGTTGTTGTTGCTAACCTAATAAAATTAATAGCGGGTAAAGTAACCGCGATTAGCTATAACTTCACGACATCGCTTTGGCATGGAGTCCAAAAGTTTTCTTATGGTATCTGGTTCAATGGAATTCCAGGCCTCTTTCAAAATTCTTATCAAATCTTTCTTATTGCTAATGTGACTTCGTCTTACCCGGCGATCTAGTTCCTCCCACAGGTTTTCAATGGGGTTAAGGTTTGGACTTTGGGCAGGAAAGTCCATAACCCTAATTTGTTCAGACAAAACCATTCTTGTAAGACTTTCGATTTATGCTTTGGATCATTATCTTGCTGAAATATCCAGATTAAAGGCAAATTATCATCAGCAAACTGAATCATCATTTTCTTTAAGATGTCCAAATACATAAATCGATCCATTATTCCTTCTATTACATGCAGTGGTCCCATGCCATAGCCCTAGAAGCATCCCCACACCATTCAAGATCCACCACCATGCTTTACAGCCTTGTTATACTTTGGATCAAATATTTTCCCTTCTGGGCGATGTAGCCAGGATATGCCATCGGATCCAAATATATTGAATTAGGTTTCATCTGAAAACAGAACCTTTTTTCAGTCATTCGTCGTCCAGTGCAAATATTTTTTTGCATAGGTAAGTCGGGTTTTCTGGTTCTTCTTACTGATAAGTGTTTTTTTGGCGGCTCTTCTGCTAAATAATCCTGCTTCCCTTAGCCTTCTTTGGATGGTTTTAGAGCTTATATTGACACCAGGTAGTTCACTCAAAATTTGATTTGCCGATTTATGCGGATTAGTTAAGGCGATTTTTTAAATTATCATTTCAATTTTTTTCGTTGTTTTCCTTGGCCGACCACTTTTTTTAATAGTCTATAAGGAATTGCTAGTTTTGAAATTGGAAATCGTTTTGCTTTTGCTAATGACAGACTTATATGCAAATTAAACATTGTGCTTATGTCCATTTGCTTTATACCATTCCGATGTGCGTTGATTATTTTTTCGCGAAGATCCTCTGCAAAATAAAAACACTAAATCACCACAATACACCAAAACACTTTTACTTTTACACTGGACGCGCGTTTCGCTAACCATGTTAGCATCATCAGCAGATGATTATAAACTCAAGAAGATCCTCTGACAAATATTTTCCACGTGGCATATTTAGTAAAAATCTAAATCAGAATATCAACAGTTTTCACCTTAAGCAAATAACTACTAAGTATGGTCAATTTTTATGTTGGTTTCTTTATGTCCCTTCAAAAATATTTGGGTCCATATTATAAATAAACACCTGATAAGATAAATTTGGAGTTTGGTATGGTTTGGTAGTATTGCTATAAGGAAATATGTTTAAAACAAACATTATTTTACATATTGGAGGTTTTTGAAATCCGACGATTTTAAAAAGTTTCCCTACTTTTGTCTGATAGTGTATCAGGTCTTTTGCAACTGAAACGGAAGGTTAAAACCCTACCCATACTTCTTTTTTGTAAAGGACTATGTATCTATCTGTATAACAAGAAATATAATAAATGTTTTTTGAAATTTTTGTTAAATTAAAGAACAAACGTAGCATTTAATTGTTTTATTTTAATGTAATTGACTTTTAACACATTATATCCTGTTGAATTCGAATCTCCTCAGGTTTCTGTCAAGGACGTTCTATTCATTATAATCTCATTATTTAACAAATAGCAAGGTTTAAGCATTGTTCTTATCTTGAACTACAGAATATAAAACAATATTTTTCTTTTTCAGTTACTACCCCTCAACCTCCACCTAGACCATGGATACCTTTAGCTAGGCCGACTGCAAACAGACCAGCATGTAAGTCAAACTAAAAACTACCCTATGATCGAAAAAAAAACGGCGTCCAGTTGACTTGGAAATGATGATCGATGATAGTCCTCAAAGATTATTATGTATAAAATGACAGCGATCTTCATTTCATTAACCATCGCTGACGCCGTTTTTTCATATCATATTGTACTTTACCGTGATATACAAATAAGAACCTGTATAACTTACCAATACTATAGCTCAACGACTCGTGTCGTGCGTATCAGGGTAGTATACTGGCTTAACCAAAATAAAAAATATTTAGTTCGTTTTTATTCGTTATAACAACTAGATAATATTCACCAAATTATTGATTCTAGAACCATAATATAATCATCTAAAAGCCAGAAATTACATGCCATAAACCTTCATTCAGAACCTCACAATTAAATTAGTGGTTTCGATTATACTTTATACTTTTTAGTTTACTATCATTCACAATGTTTAAAAAAACACAATTAAAATTAATAGAATATTCTAGCACCAGCTTGCGCTAGACAGTTGTATCCATAGAGAAAGTCTAATATTTAGCTTCTTTGAATAAGAAGACTAAGGAAGGAGCATATCAAAAATCTTAGGTACACCGCGATGGGCCTCAAATATGGCCGACTTAAATTCCGGTTTATCAGTGTCGTTCTAATTTTATTTAAAAAATGTAAAACTATGATGTTGGGTAGACTCAATAATTTGTTGTTTTATTTTACGTTGTGAATAAATGTTGGTAGTTATTAAAATTGTTATAAAAATATATAATTCTAATAAAAATAGATAAGTTATAATAAGTATTTATTAACACAAACATCCGATACGCTACTGAAGCAGGTAAGTCAAATTAACGTATCTAAATTCTTTGACATCTAATCTTTGACAAATAATAAATAAAAGCTAAAATGCAAGAAAAAATATATAATTTAGTTAATTTAAATTGAATTTCATAAATGATCGGTTTACTACACGTATGTATATTATATAGTCACTTACTAGCGAAAGTTGTTCCATTATTTCACTCAATTTTTGCCGAGATCTACCGCACGCTACACAACCAACTATTTTAGAGTCTTTTTCGATAAATCGCGATAGTGTCACTGTTAATTTAAGTTCTGCCACAATTTCCATCTAGATTTACTACCTTTATACAACTATCAGTAGTAGAATAAATGATAAATAACATAAAATAAGCTCCGTAAAGACTGACAAATCCACAAAATTTCAAATCAAATTCAAATGTGTCAAATGAATCGTCAAACAGAACTGTCAAGGATCCCCACCCTAGAGAGCTTTTATGGTGGCTTTTCCGCCCACCATGCATGAATACATGGATAGCATTATGCTCCTTCCTTAGTCTTCTTATTCAAAGTTTAGCTTATAAAACAATCAACTTTTGATTTCTAACCACAATTTCTCTTGACGGAAGATAATCAAAGACCAAAATGACATTTCTCGCAAATTTTGAAGTATGTAATTAATTAGTGGAAAAGTTTGATAACTTTTTCTGCTAATTGAAAATGTCTACCACTAATTTTGACGTTCTGAATGCTTACATTGAAATTAAAGAATCAAACTTCTATGCTAATTAAAACCACTAATTAATTCCACTAATTGCGAGGTTTATGCCAGTAAGCGAGGATAAAAATAGGGTATTACCTCCGAATTCTTGACACCCGCACCGATTGACGTGCAATTTTAACAGTGAATAGAGATATATGTAAGAAACAAAAGTTACATAGTAGCGAAGTGTGCTTTCACCCTGGGGGTGAGTGCCACCCCTTCTCGGGGGTGAAAAATAGATCGCCCATTTTAGTTACAAAAATCAATAAAGGGATGAATTCTAAGCAAAAAATGTTCTATAACATTTTTTCAGAAAATTAATATTTTCCGAGTTATTTAGGATTGAAAATCTTGGGTTTTCATCTAAAAACTGCATATTTTTCTGCAATTTTTTATAAATAACTCGAAAATCTTGCGTTTTATCGCAAAACTCATATAAAGCAAAAATGAAGCTTTTGGAATAACAAATCGATTAATTTAAAAAAAATATGTTTTTTTTTCAAAAATATTGCAAAAAAAGACTTTCAATTTTCCTCTGTTGCATTTTTTACGTGTATTGCTTAGTTTTTGAGATATGTCAAAAAAATTAAAATTTTTTAGAAAACAAAAAATAATTTTTATTATTTTCAACTTTTTATAAATTTGGGCATTCTAAACCGCTCGAACTTGCAGAGTCAATTGTTAGTATACTCTGTTTTTTTTCTCAGGTAAGATTTCGACAGACGGTGACAGAAGAAAAGCAGATGACGTCCCATACCAATCTATTTATTTTACTAAAAAAAGTTTCTAATAATTTTTAAGTTATCTATGGATAGGTTTAAATATAAATCCGTCATGCGTCGTGTCTTGTTGTTTTTGACCAGTTTTATTGGTTTATTTAAAAAATGACAGATCGTATTTCAATTTTATTGGTTTGACGGAACGATGAACGATAAACGGACGCCGATGTGTATGAACTCGCCTTTAGATTTTTGTCATTTTTGACGCTTGTCAAAGTCTTGCCAAATTATAGGTTATAATTTTGTGTCAACTTTTGTTAAATACCCTGCGTTTTGGAAGATGATGCATTTTGATTCGTATTATTACGTGTGTTTTGTGTCTTTTGAAGTCAAGTGGAGGAAAAATCGAGTGAAAATTAACTGTAGACCCAGAGCACAGTTTATGGTTAATACTCGCTGCCCAGGCAGAAAGTCTTATACACCCCATCGTTAAAGTTTGTATACCATCTCGTCGTAGATAAGTGCATCTCGTATATGGTAGAAGGATCAAACTAAACACATACTAAAAACTGGAGTAGCTGTAAAATATCGACATCACACGATGGGTAAATAATGGATTTTAGTACTGCAGAAAAATAATGTCAAGAGGTACTGGTTTAAAAAATTAAGATTAAAGTTAATTAATCAACCTTTAAGGTATAAAAATTTGGTAGGGTGTTATTATTAATAAAATCGTTTGTTTTATTTACCTATGTTGTTGTATTTATTCCTGTGGAATATTACAAATTTGTATTTCTACATAAGTTATATTGATAAATATAATCATAAATGCAGGGTAGTTTCATAAAGCTTGAAAGTAAAAAATAGTTCTTTTTATATTTTTTTGGTATGTAGTGTCTTTTTTTTCTTGTTTGTTTTGTATTAACACATACCGGTTTTATTAAATAAAATAACTCGATTACATTTTTTCAGTTTTATACAGTTTTTTTCACAATATTTTGAAGTAATCACTTGTCATCTTGTCAATCAAATTTTAAATATTTCCTGCTATGCGTTCCAGTTGTACCAACTTATTTCTTTGTAAAATAAAATAAACTACTTTGAAATTAAAATGACAGACACATCTATCACTGTCAAGGATCTTCTCGTTGGACAGACTATACCTAAATACCTACGGTAAACAACAAAAAATGGATCGTTTACAGTACGTCTGTCCGTTCTGAAGCTACGGGGTATCCGTGAGAGGGAAAACGATATTCTCTCGATGTTTTTCGTAAAAATTGGACGACGCGTCCCATCAATAAAAATTCGACAAATTTGCAAGTGGCCAATAAAATGAGTGGGCGGAGCGATTTGCGGTGACGTACTCGTCAAGTCTACGTATAAAATATATTGCTATTTATTTAAATGTTTTTTGTCCGCATTCCTTTCATAGACACAGATCCAGCAGACGTACTGTAGTTATTTCAAGGTCAAGGTTTTTGAGTTATTTATAAAAATTGGCAAAAATATGCAGTTTTTAAGGTGCGTATTCATTATCCGAACGAATGAAAGTGCGGTATATTTAGACGGGGACCGAACGCATGCGGCCGTTCGTTCGTTCGTTCGCTCGACCATCCGTTTCGAGTCGGTACATCAAAGGCGTTCGCCAACAAATGCCTCCGGTCTTCTCGTGCGGTTCTATCGTACGGTCCCCGTCCATACCACTAGCGAACATTCGTTCGTTCGTTCGTGCGGATAATGAATACGCACCTTTTAAGGTGCGTATTCATTATCCGAACGAACGAACGAATGAAAGTGCGGTATATTTAGACGGGGACCCAACGCATGCGGCCGTTCGTTCGGTCGTGCGCTCGACCATCCGCTTCGAGTCGGTACATCAAAGGCGTTCGCCTGCGTGCGCTTTCAGATTTAAGGTGCGTATTCATTATCCGAACGAACGAACGAATGAAAGTGCGGTATATTTAGACGGGGACCGAACGCATGCGGCCGTTCGTTCGTTCGTGCGCTCGACCATCCGCTTCGAGTCGGTACATCAAAGGCGTTTAGACGTCATGGTACAAAGAATACACGGTATGATCGATAGCGGCTCCAATTTCGTTCAGTTCGCGCATACCACCTGTGACGTCACTAGGAAAATGAGGAATAAATAAAAAATAAAGAAAGTTGACAGGAGATCTGCATTTTTGAGGTTATGGTTAAGAATTTTTTATTTTTAAGACTTTTTAGTTCGTTTAATTTAATAATTACTAAAACCAGCAGTTCCAAAAATATATTTAAAAATAATAATTATATATTAACATGGATTTGGACGATAATAGGTAAAAATACTAAATTTATTTCTATATTCGGTATAAAATTGTTTATTCGGTTTTTAGTTTGCGATGTTTATGGTAAATAATTTTCATTTTTATTGCCTCTGAATTCACATGAGGACAGAGTTGAGGATATCTATGGAAAAGTAACCACAAGAGGAATTGTTACATCATTTAAAAAATATTGGGAAGTTTATTGTTTCCCATCGAAAAGTAGAAAATGCCAATGCAGATGAACGTATTGTAATTGTGATAGAAGTAATTCTAAGGGTGAAGTTTATTATAATTAGTGGAAGTAATACCAAGGGTGAAGTTTATTATAATTAGTGACCTGTGCTTTTCTTTTTATATGTAGATGTTTCTGGTTTTGAGAATAAATCGGTTGAACGACACCCAAAATTTAAAGGAAGTGTTTGCATACCCAGAATATGCCCATCAAGGATTATATAGCTCAAATTTCCTTTAATGGTAGGCAATTATTCAATGCAAATTAACTTTTTCAGTGACTGAAATATAAAAAATAAATAGTTTACAATATGGTATATCACTAAAAATATATTACTTTTAGGTACAATTAGAGCCCGATACATTTCAAAAAGTAGAATATTATTTTATATTAAATGAGGTATTGTACTAACAATCAATTTATATTAATAACGGAGATTAAAAAATAACAGAATAAATAGTTCTTTTTTTCATACTACAAAAATAAACTATAGAATACAACAGTATTCAAAAAAATAAATAAAAAGTTATGTCCCGGCCGAGATTCGAACTCCGGTCTCTCGCTTCCCAGCCCGACTCCTTACGCACTGCTCCACAGTAACTTGCTTAGCGATAATTCAATGACGGTATATAAACAAAAAAAAAACAGGTTTATAACAATATCTTGACGATTAGAACTGGCGCGCGAATGAAGAAATGCGTGCGGTCTTCTCGTGCGGTTCTATCGTGCGGTCCCCGTCCATACCACTAGCGAACATTCGTTCGTTCGTTCGTTCGTTCGTGCGGATAACCTTAAGGTGCGTATTCATTATCCGCACGAACGAACGAACGAACGAACGAATGAAAGTGCGGTATATTTAGACGGGGACCGAACGCATGCGGCCGTTCGTTCGTTCGTTCGCTCGACCATCCGTTTCGAGTCGGTACATCAAAGGCGTTCGCCAACAAATGCCTCCGGTCTTCTCGTGCGGTTCTATCGTACGGTCCCCGTCCATACCACTAGCGAACATTCGTTCGTTCGTTCGTTCGTGCGGATAATGAATACGCACCTTTTAGATGAAAAATCAACATTTTCAATCTTAAATAACTAGGAAAATATTAATTTTCTGAAAAGATGTTATAGAACATTTTTTGCTTAGAATTCATCCCTTTGTTGATTTTTATAATTAAAATGGGTGACTTATTTTTCATCCCCGAGAAGGGGTGGTACTCACCCCCAGGGTGAAAGCACACCTCGATATTATGTAACTTTTGTTTCTTAGATATATCTCTATTGACTGTTACAATTTCACGTCAATCGGTGCAGGTGTTCAGAATTCGGACCCTAAAACCCTCGCTTACTGGCCTAGTTCTGAATGAAGCTTAATTCTTGACCTAACGAGACTTTCTATTAGACCATTACCACAGTTCGCATCCAATCGCGAATACACAAAAAACAAGCGAAGATGACCAGCTGGTACTAAATAAGCTGTGATCATTGCTAAACATTTTTTGGCGTTTATTTGGACATTGACTTAAATTTACCTAAAAAATATATTGTATAGATGATTGTGTAAATAAATTTTGAATCAGTTTCGAAATGGTCGCTGCAACTTTTTCAACAGTTTCTTTTTAAAAAAATTTCAGGTATTTTCACTGTAATGTGTTACAACGTACTCTGTGACAAGTACGCCACTAGACAAATGTACAGTTATTGCCCGTCCTGGGCTCTTAATTGGGACTACAGAAAAAAGGGAATTATGGAAGAAATACAGCACTATGGTGCAGATATAATCAGTTTACAAGAGGTGGAACTAGAACAATTTTATAATTTCTTTATGCCCGAATTGAAAAACCAAGGCTACCATGGCATATATTCGCCCAAATCGAGAGCGAAACACATGGCAGAGTCCGAAAGAAAACACGTAGATGGTTGTGCGATATTCTATAGAACATCAAAGTAAGTACCGTACGGTCGAAAATAAACGGCGTCAAAGTGTGCTTGGAAATGAAGAGATCACTATCATTTAATATGGAAAATTTTATGAGATATATATGTCATCGATCGTTATTTCCAAGCCAACTTGACGCCATTTTTTTCGCTCGCACATTTTTGTAAAAATCTAACAAATTGTTAGTATTAATTTAGCTACCTTATTTTAGGCTTATTTAGCTCGTAATAAATCACAGAGGAATAAACCCTTTTAAAAAATTGTAGGTAGTTTCTGACTAAATTTGTGCATATTTTCAGGAAGCTTTATATTTTAAGCAGGTATCTGATAGGATTTCTAAAAAGAAAAGCGGAAAAGATGTTTGGCTTCTAATTTTTTTCTTAGTATAGTTAATTTCAACATTTTGTATAAAAAATCACTCCTATACCGGGTGCGTCTCAAAAGTGGCTCACCCCTATAACTTTTTTATTTTTTCGGATAAAAAAACGAGATTTGGTGTGTTAGTATAGGACATAAATTAGGATTGATTGACGTATTCAATTGTTTTCGGTCACTCCCTGTTTCACCGGAAATGACTACAACTTTTGATTTTTAAATGGCACCCTCGGTATTTTTTTACTTTATTCGATAGAAAATGACATTCTGAATAGAATGACATATCATATGTCAACTTTTGACATTCTAGCTTAATAAAAAGTAGTATTTTAAAATTCAATCTAGAGTGCGATGGTTATGTTAAAAACACTAATTCTTAATCAAGGAGCCTTGGAAAAATAGATTTGATCGTCTAATGTTTTTAGTGTCTTGTCCTGACCAGTTAGAAAATGCTTAAATCGTATTTTTAATTATATCTCATTTTTTTTAAATGGAACGAGGGTGGCTCATTAGCATATTTGGAAAAAGCATTTTGTTACGAATAATTTGATACCACACACTTGTTATTTCTAGTCAAATTTTCGTTACAAACTGCAAGTTATAATTTCAAATAAATCATATGCGAAAATGTCAAAAGTTGACATATGATATGTCATTCTATTCAGAGTTTTATTTTATATGGAATAAAGTAAAAAAATACCGAGGATGCCGTTTAAAACTCAAAAGTTGTAGTCATTTCCGGTGAAACAGGAAGTGACCGAAAACAATTGAATACGTCAATCAGTCCTGATTTATATCATATACATACATACCAAATCTCGATTTTTTTAATTGAAAAAAATAAAAAGTTATTTGGGTGAGCCACTTTTGAGACGCACCCGGTATACTCGTACTTTTTAAGGAGACTTGTAAAATAATTTAGTCTTCTGAATTAGCAATAATAAAATTGAAAGTTGTTCATACTTCACTGAATTATTGTGAAAATAATGTAGCCAGGCGCATTCGCCATATTATTTCATTGAAATATAAACAATGTATTTTCTAAAAACAATAATTACTAATAGCCAAATCTCCAATTGTCCGTAATATTATGCCTCTTTTTGTTACTGTTTAAAATACAGGGTAGCGGTATGCCTAAAGTATAGGTCGTCCTGTAAGAGAATGTATTATTTTGACAGATGTATGTAAAAAAATTACAAATAAAGCAATATACTTTTGATTTAGATATGCAGTCACAGTTACTGCCATATTCTTTAGCTGAACAGGCTATAGAATACAGTAGGGATAAGGAATGTGTTGTTTAATTTTATATATTAATAACAGTACTCTACTTGTAAGAGCAACAATTTCAAACGTTATTCTTGGGAACGTCCATTTCAAGATTATTTCCTTTTCAGATTTACTTTAATAAAGGACCACTTAGTAGAGTTTAACCAATTGGCTATGGCAAATGCCGATGGATTAGAGCATATGTTAAATAGAGTGATGCCAAAAGATAACATCGGTTTAGCCGCATTGCTCCAAACAACAGAAAATGCTTGGGAAAATGGTAAGCCTGTGTTTTCATTTTAAAACTGGAAATTTAATACGGAATTCTATAGCGCCACCTGATGCGCCCTTTATCAAACAACCGATTCTGGTTTGTACGGCGCATATCCACTGGGATCCCGAATTTTGTGACGTCAAACTTATTCAAACAATGATGCTAAGCAACGAGCTCAAGTCAATTTTAGAAGAATCTGCTCAAGCACTTCGATCTAACAATGTCAACATTTCTGATTCCAGCAGTATTCAGTTGGTAAGCTTTTTGTTAGTTTTATTTTAAATATCAATATTAATTATAGGACCTCTGTCTAAAATATCAAATAATGTTTAGCCCTAAAAGCACACCCTTCTCATTTCTTCTATATATGCGTGTTTTTCTTTTAGGTTTTATGTGGAGATTTCAACTCGTTGCCAGATTCAGGTGTAATTGAATTTTTAAGTACGGGCAGGGTATCACAGGATCATAAAGACTTTAAAACATTTAGCTATAAGGCTTGTTTAGAAAAGATTCTCAGCTGTGATAAACCCAATGATTTTACGCATTCCTTCAAACTGGCATCTGCATACAATGACGAAATTATGCCATTTACAAATTACACGTAAGTATATCATTATTTTTTAACATGTAGAGATATAAAGTAATACTAGGATAGATTATAATATGTGTAAAATGTATATTCAACTATTTCAATTCATTTTTTTCAGGTTCGAATTTAAGGGCATCATTGATTATATATTTTATGCGAAAAACACCATGACACCTCTAGGTCTTCTTGGTCCAATATCGCAAGAATGGTTATCGCAAAACAAAGTTATCGGTTGTCCACATCCTCATGTATATTCTGATCATTTTCCTCTCCTGGTTGAACTCGAAATGGTACCGACGATAACTTCATCAATAAATGGGATTATCAGGTAATAACTTATGAAAATATCCAAAAATAATCTAATGAGTCATTATTAAGCTATTAAAGCAAACACACACAGAAACACAAAAATATGCAGAGTTGCATGTGATTGTGTTTGAATTTCCATTAGGGTATCTGAATCATTGTTTTAAACGTTAACTGTATACTGGTAGCAAGGTGTCCATAATTGTTACATTTGCTGTCCTCCATTCGCGAACTTCGAGTTCCGGGCTTTACGCCCTGGGGCTACTCGAGAACGGTTCTGAAAGGAGCTGTGCGCGATAGCCTCGTGCCTCCATACGGTGCGGAACAGGTCTGAAACTTTATGACTCAATTGAATGGAGTGAGAGTATCGCGTTCTTGAACAGTTCAGAGCTGCTCAACTGCGCGAAAGGAGGACAGCAATTGATATCTCTGCCTCTCGCTCAAAACTAGTGTCGCATATTAGTGTGGTGCAGTGTTTTACCGTTGATTGAAAGAATAGGGAAGATACACATCCTAATGGGCGAATTCGTTACAAGGCTAATTTGATTTATCCTTAAGTCTCAAGTGCTGTACGGTGGGGCGGCCACTCGTTCTGCGGCCAACGCATAAAACACTTATTTCTCTAATTCAGCTAGCGAAGGCATATCGAAGACGGTGTGGAACTGAAAGCGACAGTGTTGCCATATTAAAGTATGTAATATCTGTAATATATTTGATAAAAATAACTTTGAAAAATCTCCATTATGTATTGAAAATTTATTCGTGTTAAACATAGAATAAACAACAAAAATAAATACCCTTTTATAGGTACTGATTATGTCGTATGATCGAAAAAAGTCGTTTAGTTAGCTTGGAAATCACGATTGACATTTACCATAATATTTTACATAATATGAGATAACACCAATTTTCATTTCAAAGCCAACTCTGACGGCGTTCTTTGTTTAATCATATCTATACTAATAGTATATAAAATCCTTAAGTGACTGACATACTGATTAATCACGATCCTGCTCAAACCACTCAACGTAAGAAGCTCAATTTTGGCATACAGGTTGATTCTAGGGTGTAGAAGTTCGATAAGAAGGGATTTTTCGAAATTCCAGTTCCAAGAGGGTGAAACCACCCCTCAAATATTTTTTATTTTTTATTTAAAAAACGGTCAAGTTTCCGAAAGAACGCTTAAACACGTATATTTTATTTTGTTTTTTTACATATTTTTTTTTGTTTCGAAAAATCTGGTCATTGATTAATCACGATCCTGCTTAAAGCGCTTGACGTAAAAAGCTGATTTTTGGAAAACAGATTGTTTTTAGGGTGTAGAGGTTCGATAAGAAGGAATTTTTCCAAACTCGAATTCTAAGGGGGTGAAACTATCCCTCAAATATTAAAATATTTTTTATTTAAAAACCGGTGAGTTTTTCGGAAAAACTCTTAAACACGAATATTTTATTTTGTTGTTTTACATATTTTAAGATTTTTTATAAATTTATACAGGGTGTTTCATAAAATATGACCATTGAGTAATCACGATTCTGCTTAAACTGCTTGACGTTTAAAGCTGATTTTTGGCAAATGGATTGACTCTGGGGTGTAGAGGTTCGATAAGGAGGGGTTTCTCGAATCTCAAATTCCAAGAGGGTGAAAACGCCCCTCAAATATTACAATATTTGTTATTTAAAAAACGGTTAGTCTTTCGGGAAAACGCTTGGACAAGGATAATTTATTTAGTTTTTTTACATATTTGAAATTTTTTAAAAAATCATACAGGGTGTTCCAAAAAGTTGGGTAATTTCTTAACCACGATTCTGCTTAAACTGCTTGACGTAAAAAGCTTATTTTTGGCAAACGGATTTTTCCAAAGTCAAATTCCAACGAGATGAAATTACCCCTCAAATATAACAAAGTTATATAATAATATCGGCATATTGTTTTTTCTCATGCTGACATAAATGTGAGAAAATTTTATCCAGTTTGTATGTTATTGGAAATTCTTGCTTTGCTTTATCATCACCATTACAGATGATTAATTCGACGCGAACGAAGTCGCTGGTACACGCTAGTAATATTATAATTAAATTGTTTAATGATAGAAAATTCGTATTATTAACGTATTGTACCCAAAATCCGTAAATCTACGGATTTATCAGTGGGTCTGGCAACACTGTCTGCGGCAACCACTCCCTCTGTCAACTGAAAGTAGAACTACGGTAGAGTATTCTTTATCCGCCGCGCTGTAAACATCGGCGCGCAGCGGCGCAGAGCTAAACTAAATCTCAGGCAGGCTGACAATAACGCCAGCTACATCTTGGACAGGTTTTGTGCCAAGAAGTCGCCCATATTTCTTCAATCAACGGTTTTACTTACTTTTTCAAAAGTTCTGATTATATAGTCTGTGAAACGAATAAATTTGAATTTGACAGTTCTCGCGGGCTTTTCTAGTGTTAATTTTATTAGGTTAGCAACTTGCGGCCATGCTGACGCAATGCCGTCTCTAATAGAACAGCCCCGAAACGAGATTTATGACGTCACGCTGGTTAAATACTACGGATTAATAAATATGTTGTAGATTACATGGAAAACATAATAATTCCTCGTATTTTTGGTTTGTATTTTAAAAATTATATAGTTTACATGAAATATACATAATATACAGTTAATAAATACAATATATATATATATATATATATACCTATTTATAGTAATAAATAACTTTCGCAAATAAACTATGAACCATACAAATGCAGCAAATGTTTTACAATATACAAATAATGAATAGGTACTAAAGTACTAAGATAATGGGTAAAATGTAAAATATATTTTAATTTAACAAACAACATTCAATATCTACTACTTACTATGGCAGAAATCGTATTCCATAGTCAATGTAGATAGTTTTAGTGTTAAGAATAATAATTTAAAAAAATATGAGGTCATCTTTTGACAAGTTTATATTAGTTTATTAATTGCAGTAAACATTATGTGGTGTGAATATTTTATATGTAATTTTTTGGATTATATTCGACACTATTTTTTTCATATGACACAACACTGATGAAGGCTATGATGTTAGCCGAAACGTTTTTTTTAACCAAAAAAAATAATGAAAAAACAAATGAAAACTTAATCAGCGTTTTTCCCGAACCTAAATCCCAAGAGAATAAAAAATTTTAGAATAATTTTACATATAAAATGACAGCGATCTTTATTTCATAGTCATCGCTGCAGCCTTTTTTCCATGATATTGTATTATTTGCAAATATAATTTTTCGAACATTGATACTTGCAAAATATACATATACATTTTGTGAATGCAAATAATAATACATCACTATTAGTAGATATTGAATGTTTTTTTGTTAAATTAGATCGATTTTCAAACCCCAAAATTTAAAATATATTTTACATTTTACCCATTATCTTATGTACCTATTCATTATTTGTATATTGTAAAACATTTGCTGCATTTGTATGGTTCATAGTTTATTTGCGAAAGTATTTATTACTATAAATAGGTATATATATATATATATATATATATATATATATTGTATTTATTAACTGTATATTATGTATATTTCATGTAAACTATATAATTTTTAAAATACAAACCAAAAATACGAGGAATTATTATGTTTTCCATGTATTCTACAACATATTTATTAATCCGTAGTATCTAACTAGCGTGACGTCATAAATCTCGCTCGGAGGCTGTTCTATTAGAGACGGCATTGGTCTGATATTTAGAAATGTCAAAAGCTGATGACATTTTACTTTTGACAATAGTGCTGATTTTTGTCAAAGATTTTTTTAAGGAGAGGAAGAACTGTCACTTGTTTTATTATTTTCCTTTTCTATTTCACGAAAGTAAAAAGAGTTACCTATCTGATTCGTTCAGGCACTCAATTTAAAGAATATCAGTAACTTTTTTGACAGAGGAATTTTATATTTACCATGTTGGTAAAAAATAACGGTCAAAATTCAAAGTTATTCATTTTATAGACTATACCTACTGGAATACAGTAAAGCCATTTATGTTGCTTCGAAACAGCGCTAAGATAAGCTACTTTTCAATCTTGCTTTATTAGTAATGAATTTGTAGGTAGCAACCGGCGGTGTGACACTAGAAATTAGCCATTGTCGCCTTCGCATCGCTGTACCTGTTGGACATTTTGTCACTCCATGCCATCAGACAGAACTGTTACTTTATTCACTCACCCAGTGTACATTTCGGATGTACATAAACCTTTTCATAAATTCTTAATCGGTACCTGACGGCCTCACTCCGAATAGGATGTCAAAAATTAACACAAAAATCAAATGACTTTTTTTATATAACAATCAAGTTACATTGTAAGGTTGTATATGTAAATATTCAAAGAACGCACATATACACATCGTCATCGCTGCTATCATCCCAAACTGAGGTTGCTGTGATTTTTTAAATTATATTTATGTTTACCTTTCACGTAATGTAAAATTGCTGGGACCTAAAATGTAAAAACTGATTGATGAAGTATAACACAAAATAAAAATCACCGCGACCTTGATAATATTCATTTTTCAAAATGTTTTTAATTGTTAGACTTATAAATAATTAAGTCGATTTTTGTTTCTAAAAGTAATTGGTTTTCAAGTCAAACTTTTGTTATACAGGGTTGTTCACCACAGACGACACGGAGTATTGTAGCTAAACGATTAGATTTTTACAAATTGTAAGTTTTGTGTTCGTTAAAGGACTATTAGAGCTACAATTTATGTATATATGAGTGTCCCAAATAAATAAAAATATCAAAGTTGTATTTTTTTAAATGGAACACCCTGTATATTATTACATTTTTAGTTTCTACGATTAAAATAAAGGTAAATTTGATTAAGGTTTATCACACTTACACCTTACCGTTTTTGAAATATTTTCAATTTTGTGAAATTGGAGTAAAAATTTCAAGGCTTCATTTCTACAAGGATATCAAAGTTTTTAATACTAAATATTTACTGAACTTTAAGTATCGATCAGTTATTGTGTTGCAACAATAGAAATAATACTACCTCATACAGAGTGTCTAAAAATTTATTTTAAATAATTTCTAGCTATAAACGGCAATAACTTGTTTAATTTAAATGGAACACCCTGTATATTTTAGAAGAATCAGATGTACAATTTAATTGTCCATCAAATTGTATTTCACCATTATTTACCTATCTCTTCAAGTTTTCGTAGAAAATGCATTTTCTTATAATTTAGACCTCATTTATCAATATACCCATACAAAATTCAGTTTTTTAGTATTTGGAGCAATTATTTTAGAAATATTTAAATAATTTTTTTTATTTTTTAATGACATATACGAACTATATCGACAATATTAGTATATGTACCCTTTAAAAATTTGTTACATCTTTAAAAATAATCTAAAATGTCAATATTCCATGGCTATATTGATAATTGAGGTCTAAATTATAAGAAAATGCATTTTCTACGAAAACCTGAAGACATAGGTAAAAAATGATATAATACTATTTAATAGACAATTAAATTATGCATCTGATTCTCATAAAATATATAGGGTGTTTCATTTAAGTTAAAGAAGATATTGCCTTTTAAAGCTAGTTATTATTTAAAATAAATTTTTAGACACTCTGTATAAGGTAATATAATTTTTATTATTGCAACACAAAATTTAGTAAATAGAAATACTTCGGTACAAGATTTGGTTTTAAAAACTTAAATACGCCTAGAGAAATAAAGCATTAAAATTATTACTGTATTTTGACAAAAACCCAAATATTTCAAAAACGCTAAGATTAAAATGCGGTAAACCTTAATCAAATTTACCTTTATTTTAATCATAGAAACTAAAAATGTAATAATATATAGGGTGTTTGGTTCGGTTTCATTTAAAAAAAATACAACTTTGATACAGTACAAGCTCACTAATATGAACACGAAAAATCCTGATATGTTCATATTACGGAAACTGTTTATACTAATGAAGGTCGCAAAAATATTAAAAAACATAGTCAAACTGCATACAGTTTTTATTATTTTGAGAATACATTTATTTCAAATCCTTTGCACAAAAATATGAAGTGATTTTGGATTGTTTTTACTTAATAGACAGATTAGCTAAAACAGCTTTTTCGTGAATTTTTTTAGAGTTATGATTTCACTTATATTAGACGCGTTCTGTTGAGTCCATTCTATTGCAACATCTAAAGCCTTAATTGCTTCACAATGTAAAGCATTTAATGCTTCCTATGACTAATGGTTTAATTTTTTAATCTGCGACAGTCGAAGAAAAACTGTGGAATAACTATAATGAAATTGTATCTACTACGTAATATGCATTCCAGACAGGTTCAAACGAGTTTATTTGTTCCGTTCATATTACCGAGATTATACGATGTTCATATTACAGAGTAGCCTTAATAAAAAATATTGTGTTCATATTACTGGGTTGTTCATAACAGCGCGTGTTCATAATACCGAGCTTGTACTGTATTTTTTATTTATTTGGGACAATCTGTATCTTGTAAAAATATTTTTAAATTGTAGCTCTAATAGTCCTTCAACGAACCCAAAACTTACAATTTGCAAAAATCTAATAGTTTAGCTACAATACACCGCGTCGAATGTGGTGAACAACCCTGTACATATTTAAGCAAAATCATATTTAAGCTTGTAATTTAATGTTGAATCTCTTAATGTTTGCAAGAAAATACTGTGTTATAGTTCATTGTAAGTCATTTTGTAAGCATAAATGCTTAAAAGCTGAGGTTTGTATTTCACAGCAGTTGAAATTACTTAGCACTAATTATAAGTATAATTTAATATCAAATTCCTTTAGTGCCAGTATGTAAAAAATTAGTGTAATTTTTTCATATTATATCCTTTTTACTGTGTACTTTATTTTATTGATATCAACATTATTGGCTCTATAGGAATACTGACACTTTATGTAATATTTTACGCGTCCAATAGAAATAGCTTTTCATCTAGTAGAATATGTATTATATATTAGTTGAATCATATAATAAGTGATAATTTGTGATTAGAAAAGCCGTTTCTATTTTTACTATCGTTTCTGGTCATTTTTAGACAAAAAAATACAAAAAATACTTTTCAACGCATCTAAAAAAACTCTTTATAGTTAATATATGATTTTTAATTTTTTATACCAAACTTTTATACTTGCATAATTGTATATGTTGCACAAAAATAACCTAAACAATATACAGGGTGTTTCAAAACAAATGCGAAAAACTTTAGGGGGTGATTCCTTGTTCAAAATAAAGGGTAGTTTGCTTTATAAACGTTGGGTCAAAAGTCAACCATTAGGGAGATATCGAGGTACAAAGATGGCGGAAAAATAATGTTTATATTTTTTATCTTGAAAACGAAAAGAGATAGACTAATGAAATTTTATGGAAGCATTACTGTTATGAAAACACATTTTCAGGTAATTTTTTTACTTTTTTAAAACGATTGGAAGGGGTTGAAATAAACTACCCCTATCATTTTTGTTAACGAAATTTAAAGAAAAATCTTATCAAAAACATGCAAATGCTTTAATTTGGATAGTTTAGTTTGTTTAGAAACTTTTTTACCTCTTGTGTTTTTTTGATAAAACTCACCGATTGGAAATTAAAAAATAAAATGTAAAGCATTACATGTCAGGACAAAAAACATTTTTAGATTAAGAATCTAGTGATAATAACGATAATAATAATCATCTAGATAATAACGTATTGCCGTAAGTAATGTCAAATAAAATAATATAGGAACATCCTAAAAAGTAACAGCGGCCGACTAGATTTTTTCCTAAAAAAATTACAGCAGCCCACTAGATTCTTTATCAGAAAATGTTTTTTGTCCTGACATGTAATGTTTTACATTTTATTTTTTAATTTCAAATCGGTGAGTTTTATCAAAAAAATACAAGAGATAAAAAAGTTTCTAAACAAACTAAACTATCCAAATTAATTTTTTTGCATGTGTTTGATAAGATTTTTCTTTAAATTTCGTTAACAAGAATGATAGGGGTAGTTTACTTCAACCCCTTCCACTCATTTTAAAAAAGTGAAAAAATTACCAGAAAGTGTGTTTTAAATATTTCATAACAGTAATGCTTCCATAAAATTTTATTAGTCTATCTCTTTTCGTTTTCAAGATAAAAAATAAAAACATTATTTTTCCGCCATCTTTGCACCGCAATTGACTTTTGACCCAACGTTTATGAAGCAAACTACCCTTTATTTTGAACAAGGAATCACCCCCTGAAGTTTTTCGCATTTGTTTTGAAACACCCTGTATAAAAACGGTGCCACTTTGTTTTTGTATTTATTATCAATTTTTTATAGATTGTAAAAAAATGTAAGAACTAGTCACAAGATTAATTGACAGTATTTGGGTAAAACTTGGAATTTATTCTTTATTGTTATCTCTGTTATATCTGTTTTTGACTTTTATATATAAGTTAAAAAAATCATTAAATCTGATATATAACATGAAAATTTACTAAAGACTAAGTTGTAAAATAATTTTAGAAAAACAAATTTTAATATGACTTTATTATTAGATTATTATATTTAGTAATCCCAATGACTGCAAAATCAAGTGAATAATTCAAGTAAGCAAAAATATTTTCATACAAAATTTTCTAATGCCTACCTAAAAATAGGAAAATGTTTTAACAATGTCTAATTAGACGTTGGATATAGCGAAAGTTGTACTTTAAAAAACAAGGCAGAACACTATCCACAACTTATGTTGTTGGTCTACAGGGTTGTCTCAATACAACCTGCATAAGTTAATTATTTTTGATTCTTTTCATAAATTTCCTTAATATGAATTTTATATTGCTATCGATACATTTAAAAATGTTATTAAGTATAGTCTATAAAATGAATAACTTTGAATTTTGACCGTTATTTTTTACCAACATGGTAAATATAAAATTCCTCTGTCAAAAAAGTTACTGATATTCTTTAAATTGAGTGCCTGAACGAATCAGATAGGTAACTCTTTTTACTTTCGTGAAATAGAAAAGGAAAATAATAAAACAAGTGACAGTTCTTCCTCTCCTTAAAAAAATCTTTGACAAAAATCAACACAATTGTCAAAGTAAAATGTCATCAGCTTTTGACATTTCTAAATATCAGACCAATGCCGTCTCTAATAGAACAGTCTCGAGGCAGAGATTTATGACGTCACGCTAGTTAGATACTACGGATTAATAAATATGTTGTAGAATACATGGAAAACATAATAATTCCTCGTAATTTTGGTCTGTATTTTAAAAATGATATAGTTTACATGAAATATACATAATATACAGTTAATAAATACAATATATATATATATTTATAGTAATAAATAACTTTTTGCAAATAAATTATGAACCATACAAATGCAGCAAAATGTTTTACAATATACAAATAATGAATAGGTACATAAGATAATGGGTAAAATGTAAAATATATTTTATATTTTGGGGTTTGAAAAATCGATCTAATTTAACAAAAAACATTCAATATCTACTAATAGTGATGTATTATTATTTGCATTCACAAAATGTATATGTATATTTTGCAAGTATCAATGTCACGAAAAAATTATATTTGCAAATAATACAATATCACGGAAAAAGGCTCTACGATGGCTATGAAATAAAAAGATCGCTGT